TCAAGGTCCTGGGTTTTCTTTCTTCCCCTAGCATGCTTGTTTACAGTCGGTTACAGTCAGATTTTGGGGCTACGAGCGGGACCATCCGCTTCGACGTGTGTTTGATTGGGCAGTTGAAGATGGGACAAGTCGCATTGGAACTCACGTTATTGGATGCCGTATTCGCCGGCATTTGAATCCCTTGGCTGGAACAATTGCAAGATCAGCATAGGAGCGTCTGTTCTGACATGTAAGTCACTATCTTTCTTGCAATCAGTTTCGAGGTTGTTGTTGACTCTGGGCATCGTCAATCAGCAGCCTGATACAAGCAACGTTCGTCCCACTGCGACCGCCAGTATCAGCATCATCTGGTGACATTGCAAGTCCCTCACCTCTAGTAGACTCACTTCTGTCGCCCAATTGTTTCACTGCAGCAATTAGAATGTAGCTCTTGGTGTTGTCATCTTCTGTTACTTGACTTGGAGTTCCTGTTCTAGAACATGCTTGCTGGATATCGGAGAAGGCTTGTCGAGAATGTTGTTGTGAAGATGTTGCCAAACTGTCAACGTATCTTGGGGTCGGCACGGCTTAAGAAACATTCCGTTGATTGCGAGTCATGGCATGAGATCCAGCTTTGAGGCCCAATTGCGATGAAGGGCGCTGGCTTGATTTATAAGTCTGTGCTTTAGGGTTCCACCTTTTGCCGCCTTGTAGGTCTAGTGAGTGAGAGGCAGACCTACAAGGCTGATGTCTTGATTCAAGATGTTTCTCTAAGTAAATGTATGTGGATTTTCATTTCAGCGGACACGCCTCAGATCTCACCGCGTGGTCATCTCGGGGGAGAGAATTCCTACTCCTCCCGTCTTTGAATTGTCAACTCACCTCCACCTTCACCTCACATCACAGGACCTCATCCTGTCACCCCTCGCATCGCGCCTCACAAACGATAGAGGCAACCGGGTCTGTTGATTCCACAAGTTTCTCGTCATTCTTTCTTCCTTGATAGCTCGCTGACAATTGTCTGTAGCCAGATTGTGCGACCGCACAACGGGGCAATCCGCGCAGATTCATAGCTTATTTAGCAATCGCCCGGCATCATCATGGCCTCCAACAACAGCAAAGATCCCGTCGTTGGATCTGTCGACCACGATAACTCTCCGGTCATGCAGAAAGCTATTGCTATCGGTAAGACTATCGCAGATTTAGTGCAGAACGGTGAACGATCCGGAGAAGCGAGAGCCCACTCACGTCTCACTCCAAGGATCAATCATCAGGCCTCGCACATCAAAGGCCTCGAATCCCGTCTTAAAGCCTCAGAGGCTGGCGCTGCTCGGGCCAGGGCCGATGCTGAGACTCATATCGCTAGATACACTACTGAACTCGAGGCTCGCAATGTGCAGATGGTCAACACGGTTGTAGAGACCGTTGAAAGGATGAAAAGAGATGCAGCCGCTCGAGTCGCCGCGGCTGAGACTCATGCCCAGGAATGCATCGGCGAATACCGGGACAAAACTGATTCTCAGATTCGACAGCTGTCTCGGGACCTTGAGCGTCACAATGACATGCTTGGCCTTGCCCGTATGTTGTTCCAGCCCTCTACTCTCCCTCCCGTCCCGGTTGTTCGAACTAAGCATGTACACAGGAAAGCATACCGGATGGGTAGCACACAAACTGGTTCTTCTTCTAGATGAGATGGAGAAGAAGACACGCCTTCCCGACAAAACCGCTCTGGCGTCTTGCCTGCAGGAGATGCTTGAGGAGCTCGCTGAGTACAGAAACGATTGCGATGTCTTTCTCGACAACGGCCTCGCAGACGACAATGAACCTGACTGGGGGCCTGTGCCTAACGACGAAGGGGGCGCTCTACTCAACAAATCCTATCGCAAGTTCCCCGGGGCCACCTCAGCCAACATAACTGGCCGGGTCCTAGTCTCTCCAATCGGCGAGGACACTACCGAGAAGCAGGCCAGCCACGAGGAAAGTTCTCTGTTCGTAGATGGTCATCACCATGATGAGGACGATCAGAGCAGCACCATCAAATCTGAAGATGATGACAACAACCAGCAAAGTCTCGCCGATTTGCCTCCAGCTACCAAGCGAGCCAGCAACTCTGGAGGCCGAGCTGGACGTGGTGCCAAGCGTCAGCGTACAAAGTAGAGGCAACAACTACCACACGACACCCAGAGTACACTCCTGTCATTGTTGATAGATTACTGATTTGGGGGATCGGGTCCTTTGACGTAGAATGGGAGACGGGCAAGGGTGATCAACGACCGTCTCATCGTAATTATCTTGAAAGATCATAGAGGTTGCTGGGAATGAATCGGAGGGCTTCTCGGCGTACTCAATTAAAGACACCAATATATCCCGTTCTATTTAATTTCTGTCATTCTATTAGCATGCTCGCGTTCTGAAGTCAGGTCAAGTTACGCACATTGTCTTCTCTGTATTCTCACCTGTCGCGTCGACTTGACGTTCTGTGAGTGCTCCCAATTGAGCGTAGTGCCATTTTCTGCTTACCCGGGACATTCAACCGGATCGAAACTTTTCGACTCGTGGACTTGGTCGAAATTTTGAGAAGCGAAGCGGCTTAGGTTAATCCACTTCCGGGCATGATGTCTCCGGTTTATTCCCGAATTCGTCGACGGAACAGACTGGTGATGAGTTACATGCCGCCTTGCACTGATTTAACTGAGTCTGCATATTACATCCGTCTTACATGATTGAACTGACCTCTTGATTGAACTTCCCGTGATATTTTGTCGTGCTACCTCGGTGTCTTTACGACTTTGTGCGGGTAAGTTTTGAATCGCCCCGTCATCTGCGTCGGGAATAGTCAATTGAAAAAGGGTTAAAGCCGGATCTCCATGTTTCGGGCGAGCTTACAGCCAGACCAGCCCAAAGCTCATCGACGCGACCTCGGCTTCACTGAGGATGCCCTGTTATTCCCAGGCAAGGATCCCCAAGTCACAGGCTTTCCGGGAGTGGATTTCGGGATGTTTTTAATTAAAACAAGATCCAAGTTTCCAGCGTTCGGATGCGACAGCGGACAGCCCCATGTGTGAAGGTTTAGCTACGGCTGCCTCCTCGAGTGCACAGGCGTGTCGTGTCGTGCCGAGGTGGCTGGTTACGCCTCGCGACAACGGGAAAAGCACGAGGACGAGGACGAGGCGCTGGTATTGAATTGAGTAACCAAGGGAACCCAAGGGAGGTCAACGAGCATTGATCTACAGGTGACATGATGTTTGCGCTGTATTATTTGGGGCGGACAGGTGTTACGCTGCTCCTAGGTACGCAAGGTGATGGTTGTTGGCTGGTGATGTTTTCTCTTAGAATGGTCGCTACCCTACAAGTATGACTCGACGATGAGTCAACTTTGCACGACAAATAGCAACGACAAAGACATTCGGGAGGGAAATGCATTAGAGTCAATTAGATAAATAAATAATAGCATTCATTTAGCCAACTAATATTAAGCGAAAGTGTTTGGTATGCGACGTCAAGGCAACATTGATGCAAGCACGCGGTCAATCTCCAAAATCATCAAGCACCAGAACAAGACATCCAACTCACCACGGTCGCATCACCCTCATAAAGCAGAAAGGACATCAAAACTAATACAAATCGTTTGCAATTAATTGACAAAGAAAATCTAGAGTAAAGAAGGTCTAAGTACATCCAATTAACCCACCAAACATGTACACGAATTGAAGCCCACATCATTTTTGCCATCGCAACTCCAAAACTTTTTAAACCCAGGCCCAAACTTTTACAATTACATGTCCCGCCAATTCGTACATAATAAAATACACGCTAAACCGCAATGAATCGAGGGTATCCTATGATGTACAAGTAGCCAAGCTTACAGGTCAAACTCCAAACACATAGTGCCAAACAAAAAGGGAAATTAGAGACGGTTCGTGAGAGCAATGCCTGGCGATGCAGGGCGATCGAGCTCAAGACGGTGCATGTGCGCGTCGAGAGCGCTGACGGATGTAGACGCGCCGATGGATGTGTGTCGCTTGTGACGCGATGTCTTCTTGGTGACGCTCATCTTGCGGGGGCGTCCGTTCTTCTCGGCCGGTGACTTGGGACACTTATCGTCGCACGTAGCAGTCGAGGAGATGGAGGATGTAGAAGAGTGCGTGGATGTCGTGCTGGCGTAGGATGAAGCGCGCGAGATGGAAGAGTGGATGGACGAGCGCGATGAAGCCGTCTGGGGACGCTCTGCAATATCGGAGAGGATCTCCTGCGGTGTGCGCGGCTTATCGTTCACCATCCCCAGACAGCGCTGCCACCAGCCCTTGTCCTTCTCATCAGAGAACTCGACCATATCGCCCAGCGCCTCCTCCGCACGCTCCGTCTTGTCCCCGTCGAGGCGCAGGGCGCCGTGCTCAGAGGCCAGCTCCAGCAGGGCTGCTGCGTCGCACGCATCGCGTCGCTTGCTGTTGTCGTTCTCGTGCAGGCCGCAGGCGTCCATCTTGAAGATGATTAGGTCCTCGAGCGATGTGTACGGCAGGGTCGCTTCGTTGGTGACGTCGCGGACGCGCTTCGCTGACTCGGGGAGGTATGGGCTCAGCCAGTCGGGGATGAGCTTGACTTCGATCTCCCAGCCGCTTGTGTGGCGGTACAGAACGGTGCCGGACTTTTCGACGAGGGGGCTGATCGGGTGTCCGACGATTTCTTTCTTGACGCGGCCAGGGGAGGAGGATTTGCTGATGACAAGGTCGATGCTCTAGAACGTTCAGTGTTAGCTGGTGATGTGCACGAGTTGTCGCAATTAAGGGGAGACGTACTGCTATGCGGTTCTGGCGCGAGAGATACTTTGCGACAGCCAAATCGCCAATGACGGCGAGTTTGGTGTTGTCCAGGCCGGGGATGTCGGCGATGAGGCGGATGATGTGAAGTGCAGCTTGTTCAAGCTGGGCGAAGCTTAGTCGTTGCGCCATGGTCTGCACAGTCTTGCTTTCTCTCACGAAAAGCGACTAGAGACTTCGCCCGCTGCGTATTCAAAAGGGAATGAGATGCAAACAAGAACAACCCCTTCCATTGCGCAGTCCATCCCCCTAGATATAATATGAATTGGCTGCTGCTGTGTGTTTTTTTTCTCTCCCGCCCTTTTGGTCCCTGCGTCTACGGCACAACCCAAACAGTGCCCAACTTGGCCATTGCTACAGGGGGTTCCAAGGATTCTGCCAATGGGATGGTCTGTGTACCTGACCTGCCAATCTTAAAATCTCAGGGTATCCCAGTGAATTGCCATGGCTTCCGCGCGTTGGGTTTCAATGCCCAAGGGGGGATTTTGTCTTGCTTGGAATGAAAGGTCCTCAGGCGAATTGAATTGACAGCGATAGCCTTGACAATCTGTTTTGTTGACTTGAGAAAGCAAGGCTCTTGGGGAAACGAAAGGATCTCGATTGCTGGAATGACTGTGCCGCGAAATGAGATTTTTTTACAGCATTGACCTGAGCTGAGGGCAGTGCTGACACGAGCCTCGAAGCCGTGGGTTTTCTTTTTTCAGTCCCTGATTTTATTCCTTTTTACTCAATATCTCGAATATTTCTCGGGCAATTACGACGCTGATTCTCGTGCGAAAACTTTTATCGCATGACTTTTGCGGGGAGTCTGGTATTAATTGTTTCCGGGTTGATTCAATGTGTTTTGATCCGGGCATTTTAATTGAAAGGCCCGAGGATCGTGATCAGCGGCGTCGTGAAACAGACTGCGCAGTTTCAGGCTGACTTTGTTTAATATCGCTGGAATGAGTCCTCCCTTCAAAACAATTCGAGTCATACGTGATAATTAATGGGATTTTAGCATTTCCCCAGGATCATGGGCCGCAGCGGATTTATTCCCATTGACTCTCTCCACTCGGCGACGTGCACCACCTTGCCCGATTGAAGACGCTTGCGTAGATGCTAATCAATGACGTCGCGTACCCTGGAGGTAAGCTTTTGAGGATCAATTAATTCAGCCAGCACTGCACTTATCCAGACATGTAATGCTTGAAGTAATTAATCTCTG